CCATCCCATGAAAAAATACATGTATGCACACCATAGGAAATAGGAACACTAGCTGGCTGGCTCTTTAACATAGTTTTCTTTATCATCAAAGGAATTTCTGTGTGAAAACAGTAATTTTATAGATACAGAGGTAGGTGTAGTGCCATTAAAAAGAGAAAAACAATCATAAAGAATATGTGTAAATCTAAGAAGAGAACATATCGTTTTTTCCTTACCATATCAGCAACGGGCAGGAATGTAAGATGTTTGCCAATAGTCAAGTGAAAGTTCTGTGACTTGGATATTCTCTTTCTGATGTACATTTTCACATCTGGTTAGAAAGACTAATACAAAGATATATCATATCTATTTAGATAAGTTTGAGGAGCATATTATATTGCTTAGAAATTAGGACATAAGTTGTATAACTTTGTATATAAAACAATTTCACCAAGGTTTATTAAGATCATGAAAATCATATTTAGGTGAAAATCATATTTAGGTGAATTAGTATGAAAGAATAGTTAAAGAACACACGATAAGGAATTATTAAACATTCAGGTGAAAGAATTCCTAAAAGTCATCTATTATAAACCTGTACTGGTTTAGTTGTAAACAACAGAAATCCAACCTAAAGTGACTCATCAAAAAATAAATAAATAAATAAAAAGGGAGGGATGAAAGAGGGAAGGAATTTTGCAGCTTATCAAATCCAAGAATGGGTTACACAAACAAATCATGGAAAGGACAAGGATACAGTTAGGTTTTCAAAACAACTGAGATCAGGAGTGTGTATGCTCCCAGGAGTGGCTCTCCAACTCCTGTCATTTCTATTCTCTCTGCCAGTTAGAACCACTCTTTTTATATGGTGGGAATGTGTACTCCTAGGAGTTCTTTTTTTTTCAATTGAGTTATAGTTAATATGCAATATTTATTGGTTTTAGTTGTGCAACAGAGTGATTTGACAATTATACACATTACTAAATGCATACCACATAAGTGTAGTTACCATCTGCTATCATACAAAGACATTACAACACTATAGATTATATTCCCTAAACTGTACTTTCATCCCTGTGACTTATTTTATACTTGGAATATACCTCCTTCCCCTATTTCACCCATCTCCCCACCTCCCTCCTCTATAGCAACCACCAGTCTGGCCTCTGTGTTTATAAATTTATTTGTTTTGTATGTTTATTCATTTGAGTTCTTCCACCTTTCAGACATTGAAGAGGGACCAAAAGATTTCCTTTCACATTAAATTTTAAAAATTTAGGAAAATAACATATTATTGGCTTAGACTGGATCAGTCATCTGTAGTTGGGATTAGCCTAGTTTGTATCAGAGATCTCCCCTGGAATAACCAACTGTGGTGAGAGTGGAGATTTGGGAAGGGGTGGCGATCATGGAATAGCATGACAGATTGCAAAGTAGCCAAGTAGATGGGAGTGTCAGCCCCGGGGGAAGATGAAGGTATGCCGGTAAACCTCATCACAATAGGCAATCAAAGAGATGAATTGGTTTGTTTCAGTTTATATGACAAACAACAGCCAGATAGATTTTCTAGTTTTTCCTAGTGGAATAGTTGGCTCTAATTATTGTCTGCTATTATAAAAGCTGAAGTACTGGTTAGCTACACTTAATTTTATGTCAATTTCAACATCTAGAAAGAGTCCACTCTTTCTTCCTTCCACTGTTTCTTATCTTGACAAGATACTCTCATCTACCCTATGGATGGTCATGGAGTGATTTCACACTACTATTTTCATTAAATGCATATCCCTGTGGCTACCTACAACTTGTGAACAAACTACATGAGACCTGGTCTGGCTTGATGGAACAGAGAGTGGAAGAGGATATAGTAAAGGAATCAGTGTCAGAGAGATAAAGCTGCAGAAGGAATGATTTTGGAGAATGCAGGGGGAACAGATTTTATGTAAGGATAGGTCCACATTATCAAATGCTGCAGAGATCAAGTAAGTCAAGAAAGACTAGGATCCTGGGTCTGGTAATTAAGAGATAATGATTAATCCTTAAAAGAACAGTTTCTATAGAAAGTATACTGGAATGGGATAAATGAAAGGTGAGAAGTTGGAAGTAGATTTTAAGAAGTCAAGTTCTGAAAGAAAACAAGTATGGGTGGTGGTATTTTGGTAAGGAAAACAGTCAAGGAGAGATTTTAGTTGTTACTGTTTGTTTTTAGCATGGGGAACTTTTGAGTATATTTGTAGACAGAAGGAAAAATATCAGCAGAAAACAGATTAAACTGGAAGGGGCAAGCAAAAACTGAACTAACTCCTGGAAAAGACAGAAAGAAAAGGAGCAAGGATAAGCTTTCTGTCGAGACACAGGAGAATAAAATAGAGCAAAAGGAAGAGATTTATAAATGCTGAGATGAAGGTAAGAGGATGGGAATTACATGGATTCAGTTCTGATAATATCTATTTCTGTGGTACTGTAAAAGAGATCATAAACTCATTCTAAGTGTTAATGGTACACTTACATTTCACCAGTTACTTCTTTTGAATGTCTGCAACATACACATTTTATTGGTCCTTTAGTCTCTTCTCATTGGTTTTAAAGTGAAGAAGGAAACTTATAGATAGCAATAACAATCTTCCATCTCACAAACTACTCATTTCTTTTCCCCCCTCAAAATACATTGTAGAGAATCTTACTATAAGAGCCACTTAAGTTGGCCTCTGATATGGAAGTATAGGAGGTCAAATATTTTCTCCAACCTAAATGAATGTCAACTGGTTCTTTTTTTCTCATTTTCTTGTCATAATAAACAGAATTCCACAAAGGCAATGACTGTGTGCTTTATATGCCCTGTCAAGGTATAGCAAACACTGGGGATGTTAAGTAAATAGGTAATAAATAGGAATAAAACTCTCAAATAATAAAACCAACTATAACACAATCAATTGCTGCAAGTGATGCAGAGGCTGCACTTCAAACTATCAGGCATAAAGCATACATGTCCATAATCATGTGTCCAGAAATGTGAGTTATATTTAGTAATTGCAACTTTCAGTTAAATCATAAATATGCATTGAGTATTTTCTATTGCTTCATAGCAACCTTATGAGAAAGTATCAATATTATACTTCTTTTAAAGTGAAATAAATGAGAATCAGGAGATTAAAGAATATGCACAAGTTTGTATATTCAGCTAATACATGCAGACCTCGAGTTCTAACATGTTTTTCTGACTCCAAAGCCAGTAGTGTTTATTACAATGCTGTACAGACTTCTTCTCAATTTACTACTAAGAGTTGGATGATATTACTTTTCCCTGTGAAAGAAAGAGGAATCATACCATTTGGTTATGTAACAATGGTAAGCTATTCCTTACCAAGTTTGACACAGACAAGTACAATGGCCCAAGCATAAAGGTAGAATTTAATGGACAGAAGCTATTACTCAAGCATCAGAAATGAAGCATGTCCTTTTGTTTGATTTCAGCTTTGTATTTTCACATTTGGGCAATGATATATTTAAGAGGGCATTTGCTAATGGTAAAAAATGTGTTCAGTATTGAAGGTAAAGAACTGCCCAAGGAGATTCAACATTAACAAAGAGGCAACTTTCTACTGCATGTTGTAACATTAAATTTTATTTTTAAATTTGTTGTCTAAGAATTTCTGTAGATTATTTGAGAAAAGAGTAAAGTGGCTTTTTGTGAATTCTTCACAAAAAGTCTGTGAAGAATTTTAAGGTCTGTGTAAATTCTTCTTATGAACTATCACCAATACATGTTGAATAATTAATTCTATTGAATCTTTTAATGTTTCTGAAAATTTATGCTGTAACCAGGCTTAAAAAAATAATTTATACTTAAACATTATCTTAGTATTCCTGTAGATCATGCTGTGTGTTACCAACCATTAGCTTGAAATTGTAGCTATAAACAGAAGAAATTTGAGAAAATGATATAAAAATAGTTACAATCTAGCCTCTTTAGACTATGATGCTGATTTTTATAAACCACGCTTCATTGATATCAAACTAATGCCATTATGGTTCAGAGAAAAATATATCCTTGATCAGGATTTTTGTCATTAAATCTATATTTGCCATGTACTTCACAAAATTCCCTTTATATTCGAATACTTAGCCTTTTTTATTATAGAATGTTGCTTACACACAAAAGAATCTACTAGAATACTGCAGCAATCACAAAATCTCAATAGAAAAATAGGTATATTAAAATATTATAGAATTTTAAATAGAAGCAATTTTAGTTAACTTCTATCCATTACAAAGATTCTAACATGAAGGGCTTAGTTTGTGAGAAGACATGCTCATATTGCCTAATATTTCCAAATTAACATCACTTCAGTTGGCCTACAAAATTCACATACCATGTGAACAGAGAACGGGAAAAGGAAGGAGTATAAAAACAAGGAGAGAAGTAAGTGAGGTGTTTTTGCTTTCTTCCTAAATAGTCAACCTTTAATATATGCTTATTGAATGAATATATAAATATATTTCTTTTTTTTAACCAAATGGAAGTGCTGATACATTATTTTTTAAGTCTGAGCTATAGATTCATCATTATCTCTGATTCTTATTTAAAAACAAAAATTAATGAAAGAATTTTATAAACCTCTAAAGATATCTACTACTCTTCAAAAATCAAAGAAAATACAATCTTCAAATGTTTGCAAGTGAATTTTAAGAGATATTAGTTAAGTTCAAAAACCTTGTTAGGTATACTGTAATCTCTCAACAATTATTGGTTGTAACAATACATAGTTCAATATAAATTATTTGAAGCATGAATCATATCATATATTACATAAAATAGAAAAAATGTAATTATGATTAATGTCTCTTGTAAAACATCTTAGAAACTTCAGAGAAGATGACATAATAACTAATACACAATTTTTAAAACAAAATGAATATACAAAATAGGGATAACTAAAAATTCTGTAGAGTTATTAAATTTCATTTCTTAGTAGGTGATGAACTAAAACCTGTAAAGGATTGAACTATACAATGACCTCAATGCTATATTAAAAATGATTGATAGAAGGCAGTCGATAGAGATTGAGAAACGTGAAACTGCTTATTTTATATTCTTTATATTTTATTAGAAAAGACATGCACATCAGTTGAATAATCAGTTTTTATTTTCTGAATGTACTATTTGAATTTCCCAAAACGATTTTCCAGAGTTAACCATTTAAAACTCATCATGTATTTTATTAAGCATCCTACTACAAAGACTAAGAAGTAGGCAAGAATGATTCTAGTGAACAGCCTAATTACAGAAAATAACTAATATATTTTTACACTACAATGTTTTAAAACCTATTTTGTGTTTATCGAAGAAGGATTTTTTTCATGCACATTATTCAAGACATTTTTGTGTCACAGTGTTATTTTCCTAGTGCTGTTGGAACAAATTACAACAAAATGGGTGGCTTACAACAGCAGAAATTTATTCTTTCACTGTGCTGGAGGCTGGAAGTCTGAAATCAAGGTGTCAGCAGAGTTGGTTCCTACCTAAGATTCTGCAGGAGAATCTATTCCATGCTTCTCTCCTATCTTCTGATGGCTGCCAGTAATCTTTGGTGTCCTTTGGCTTGTAAATATTTCACTCCAGCCTCTGCCTCTGTCTTCATGTGGTGTTCTACTGTGTCTCTGTCACTCTTTTCTCAGGATGCCAGACATGTTGGATTAAGGGCCTGCCCTGTTCAAATATGACCTCATCCTAACTACTTGCATCTGCAATGATGGTATTTCCAAATAAAATCACATTCTGAGGTTCTGGAAAGGACATGAACTTTGGGGGGCACTATTCAATTCAGTGCAGTCAGTTTCCATTTAACATTAAAGAAAAAATTCCATACTATACAGGATCCAAAAATAATTGACAAATCACTGCTGGATATTAAGAGTATGATATCTTATTTTCTAATCTCAGATGGGGATTTGGCTGTGGGAATCTTTCTCATTCGTAAGTACGACTTAAACAGAGAAACTTGTAAAATTTTTCAGGAAGGATTTAGGGGATTAACCTATGTGCACTCATTTGTTTCTAATTTAAGCATATTCTCTAGCATATTTTCTAATTCTGATTTCACTGCAGATTGTTAAGATTAGAATAAAGTCTGCAAAGTAAATGTGGTAAACAAACTTGGCAACAAAAGTTAAATATTACAGAGGTAGATAAAGTAATCTGAGGTAAATTCAAGTATTAATTCTTATATATTTCCCACACAGTTGTTCTGATACCTACTTACTTGTATTCACCAACTTAGAGTTTTTAATAATAACTAAGGTTAAGTTTCCCTGTATTTGAATAGTTTTCTGAGCAAATTAATAGTATAAATATGATTTCAAGGATAATTACATAAGAAAACAGTCACATGGACCTTTGATCAGCATGTTCATGCATCCTTTGAGTATCTCTTAGTCAAGTTTTAGGTCATAATTCAAGCACCACATCATCAGACATGACTTTCTTCAGTAGATGAATTCTTCCTAGATGTTCTTACAATACCTGTACTGCTTCTTTGTAGCATTTACTACTGTGTCAATTTTATAATAATTTTTCTAATTATTTAACTACTGTCACTCTCCTCCACTAAAATAAACTCCATTGGACAGGTACTGTGGGCTATGTGTATTTTACTGAACTTTGTTTTTCTGCCTAGTTCAGTACCTGCTGAATAACTGAATTAGTTAGAGGTTCATCTTTACATATAAAAAGTTGATATGTGAATTATGAATCCATCTCATCAATTTGTTAGAGTATACTCTACCTAGTGAATATCTCCTGAATAAATATTTGATAATCAAAATTAACATCTTTAAGTAAAAATATTAAGGGTCCAATGATTTTTTAATACCTTGAACACATCAAATACTTTTCTATTTCAGATAGACTTGTTGAATTATTCTGAATATCTCAATTAAAATATGTACAATTCAAATGATTAGAGAGTTTATTATTTATCAAGCATTCTGGGCTATTATTAAAATAAACACAGTTGACTTTAAGTTTTGTGAAACATTCTGTAAGGGTTGTTAGAGCAACTCCACATTTTTACTTTGCAATGTATGAAAATATGGCATATATCACACTGAGAAATCCCTTTAAAATAATGAACACTATAATTTCAACAGTGAAATTTATCAGTATGATGCATTTTTTAAATAATACTTGAAAATTTTAAATCTGTATAATCCCTACATTTGAGGAAGTTATAATAGTAATTAATTATTCCCAAGTAGGGAAATTAAAATTAATTCTCTGGTCATTATTAATTATTTGATCCACTGAAGGTCAGTTGCAAACCTGAGCATCTAAATTCAGAATTTATGGCATGCAGATATAATCTCTCTTTTGACAGTTTGAGTTTATGTATTTAGATAAATATACATAGTATGTGTTTAATTTCCTAGATAAAGGACTGTATTTCAAAAGTCAAATACAATGCTAAGATAAACACATTTTTTTTCTGTTTTGAGATGCTGCCCTTCCTTGAGTTGAATTTTCTGTGTCATGCTAGTATTTCCAACATTTTCTTTTTTAGGGAAAAAAATGCAAAATGCCCTCAATTTTCACACCTATATAGTATATATCTATATATATCCCAAACTTATATTAAGATGTTCAGGAATATCACATGAAAAATATGAAGAGGAACTGCAAGGGAAAACTTACAGGATCAGATGATAACTTTCTCATAATTTGATAGCTGCTCTAAGCTTGGCTGAGCGCCCTCTGGGATTATCCTGTATATCCTGATCTTCTGGAGTAAGTACCTTCTTGTGTATCAATTTCCACATTAAAGGGGCCCTTCCTATTGAGACTCTTTCTTTGTTGTCATGACTTGATCCCAGCTGCAATGTTTGTATCACCTTCTGTCTAACACTTAGGTTAAATCTTTCTGTAATGCATATCCCAAGCAAGAATCTTTTGACAATACGATCCTCTAGTGAATGGAAGGAGAGAGCAACAAGGCGACCGCCTGGTCTCAGAAACTTCTGAGCTGTCTTCAATCCTGTGTAAAGTTCATTGAGTTCATTGTTCACAAATATTCGAAAAGCTTGGAAAGCTTTGGTAGCAATATGGGAAGATCGTTGCAGTGCGTCTTTCCGTGCGTAAGTAGCAGAGGGAGGAAATGCACCTATGCACAGATTATATAAAAACAGGAAAAGAGGACAAGTAACATTAATGTTTTTCCATTGTAAATCTACTAGCTTGTGTTGTGTGTGTATTTAAGGAAATAAATATTTCCTTGAATATCTAAGGAAAATAAATTTCCACAGAAAATTGTGGCATTTCAACTATACTTTCACCTTTTATTTCCAGGCATTGTGACAAGGATTAAAACTGTGTCAAAAATGGCTTTCATAACTCATATAAGGGTACCTGGAGTCGAACAAGAAGCAGAGAAAAAGTGGCCAACAAATATTTGAAGAAATAATATGGAAAACTTCCCAACTTAGTTGCAAAACAATAACTCATAGCTACAAGAAGTTCAATGAAAAAAAGAGAAGACAAATAGCAAAATGGCAGATAATAAATCCAAATATATCAATAATTACATTAGATATAAGTGTACTAAGCACCCCAATAATAATGCAGAGATTATCTGACTGAAAAACAGCAATACTTGACTATATAGGCAGACCTTGGAGTTACTGTGGGTTTGCTTCCAGACACCACAATAAAGCACAAGTTGAAATGAGTCAAATGGATTTTTCTGGTTTCCCAGTGCATAAAAAAGTTATGCTTCCACTATTTGTAGTTTATTAAGTATATAATAGCATTAAAGCTAAAAAAATGTACAAATCTTAATTTAAAAAGACTTTATTGCTAAAAAATGCTACTATAATCTGAGCTTTCAGAGAGTCAAAATCTTGCTGGTGGAAGAAGGTCTTGCCTCACTTTTGAGAGCTGCTGACTAAGGTGGTGGCTGCTGAAGGTTGGGGTGGCTGTGGTAATTTCTTAAAATAAGAACAACAGTGAAGCTTGTCACACTGATAGGCTCTCCCTTTCACTAGAACACTAAGAGGCCATTCATTGTAAGGTTAGTAACTGGCCTAATTTCAATACTGTGTGTCTTGGGGAATAAGGAGGTCCATGGAGAGGAAAAGAGACAGGGGAACAACTGGTAGTGGAGCAGTCAGAACACACACACCATTTATCGATTGTTTCCCTTCTTAAATGGCTGAGGTTGGTGGGGTTCCAAAATAGTTATAATAATAACATCAAAGATCCCTGATCACAGGTCACCATAACAAATGTAGCAATAATGGAAAAGTTTGAAATATTGTGAAAACTACCATGTGACACAAAGACAATGAAGAAAGCAAATACTGTTGGAAAAATGGTACCAACAGACTTACTCGATGTAGTGTTGCTACCAACCTTCAATTTGTAAAAAACACAACATCTGCAAGGTTTAATAAAGGGAAGCACAATAGAATGAGATAAGCCTGTACACTGTCTACAGAAATGTACTTCAAATATTAAAATACAAATGAAAGTAAAAGCAAGCAAAAGGTTGTGAAAAGACATACCATGTAGACAGTAAGAATAAAAATCTTGCAGAGACTATATTAATATTAGACAAAATAAACTTTGAAATAGGAGAATTATTCCAAAGAGGAACATTTCCTAATGAGAAAAAGATCAATATATCAGGAAGATACAACTATAAATGTACATATACCAAATACAGAGTTCCCAAAATTTAGATGTCACAGAGAAAGACACACATTTATATAGGCAATTGGTTCTTTACTAAATTGTCAAGTTCCTTCAGTGGAGAAAGAACAGATTTTCAATGGAAGTGAGTATCTATATAAATGAAGATCAACTTTAATACTTACTGCACACTATACATGAAAATTAATTCAAAGTAGATTATGGACCTAAAAATAAATACTAAAATCATAAAATATATACCTGACAAACTCTCTTATCCAGAATACATAAGGAAATTTATAGCTTAATAACAAGAAGCCAAACAACACTTTTGAAAAAGTGGCAAAAAATTGAACAGATATTTCACAAAAGATATAAATAGCCAATAAACATATGTAAAGATGTTCAACATCATTATTAGTCACAGAAATGCAAATTAAAACCCACAATGAAATACTGCTACATACCCACTAGACCTGCTAAATCCTAGAAAGATACAAACTACAGAAAGTGACTCAAAAAGAAACAAATAATCTGAATATACCTATTATAAGGGAAGGGAATAAATTAGTAATCAAATCAACCCACAAAGAAAATCCAGATCCAGATGGTTTCACTGCTGAATTTTGCCAGACATTCAAGGAATACTTTACAAATGCTTCTCAAAAAAAATCAAGAGTAGGGAACGCTTCTCACATTATTCTATGAGGCTAGTATTACCCCAAAACTAACACCAAAAGCATCATATGAAAATTAAAGACCAATATCTCTTATGAATATAGATATAAAGATACTCAAGAAAATCCTAGCAATCCAAATTTAGCAGCACATTAAAAGGATTATATACCATGATCAAGAGAATTAAATATGAGGAATCACACAGATTTCACAATTTATTAAAAAGAAATGGTAACTGAGACAGAGTAGTGCTGATACACAGATCAATGACACAGATATCAGTGACATATGGAATATAGTTGAAAACTCAGAAATAACCCATTTATCTATGATCAACTGATTTTGACAAAAGTGCTAATATCTTTCAATGGGGAAAGAACAGTCTTTTGAACAAATGGTTCTGGGACAACTAGATAGCCACAAACAACAGAATGGAGCTGAACCCTTAAAATCATATACAAAAGTTAACTCAGAATGGATTAAGACCTAAATATAAGAGCAAAAACTAAAAATCTTAGCAGAAAACACAGGGATAAATCTTTATAACTTTGAATTTAACAAAAGATTCTAAAAATAGATTTCATCAAAATCAAAAACTTGTCCTTCAAAAGATACCAACAATAAAGTGAAAAGACAGCTCAAGAAATGGGAAAAAAACCTGCAAATCATATATCCGATAAGGGATTTGTATCGAGAATATGTAAAAGAAACAAGTTTCAAAATGATATGTGTATGACACTATTTATAAAACATTATCAAACCTGACCATCAAAACAGACACATCTCATTTAGTTTTGAAGAACAGAGATCAAAATGTTTAATTAGACTTACTACATTGGCATACAAATAAAGTATGAAAGTATAAGGTTTGATGAATTTATATCGGAATTTTTCTTTAATTTTTGATTTGATTGATTAAAAATTTTGACTTTTGTTTCTAGAGAATATTATTCCACAAAGAAGTAATCTTTCCAGTCCAGATTTTCTATGAAGATCAGATAGCATGACCAAAATCCTGGCACTTGAGTTTCCTTAGCATCCTTCTCATAGCAAAGTAAATTATACAAGGCTGATAACATAGTTCACATTTCAGTAATCTATAGATCATATAGTATATTAAGACCCATCTGATTAATCTTCTTAGGGAACTAAATCAGAGAAGGGGAGGAATAATATCTTATAGGTAATAGAGAGCTGAGAATCTAGCTGTTTAAAGTTAACCAAATCAGTGGTAGAATGTGGGGAAAGTTAGGATCCCTACGGCCAGGATTCTTACCTGAACCTGAACTACTTGATAATGAAACTAGCCTGCTGCTAGGCTACTGCTTCCACACCCATAGGCAATAAGCTATTATTGACTAATTCACTATATAAAGAACTCTGCTCAGTGCTCTGGGTGGAGACAGACACAGAGGAGGATTACAGAGCTGGAGACTGTTGGATGCAGAAGTAATTCTAGTGCTCAACCTACTGCCAGGAGAACAAGCTGGGTAATAAACCCTTTCACCCCAAGAACATTCCATTGTTGTTCCTTGGTCCCATTGAATCTATAGTGAACTTGCCCGGGTTGAAACTCATTGGCAAGATATAAAGGTTCACTCCTTCCCCTACAAAAGCTATTTTGCTGAAATGCTAGGAAATGTTAGATTCTAGGGAATTTACTTTCTAACAATCAGGTCTCTCAGAAACAAAATGTTAAAGTCAAGGCTGAAGAAGGCAGTCAACTTCTATTTGCTCTTCATTTTTTCTATTTTCCAGAGAAAGAGTTTTGATTACTGGGAAATTTTTTCACCAAGGATCTGAACAAACATGCAACTCCTCATATTTTAGAGCTTCAAATTAAAGGTTGCTTTTGGAAGACTGTATTCCTGAAGAAGACATTGCATGATTCAAACTTTGCATAATTTTACAACACTAATTTTCTCAAAGAAGAAATTTAATATAAAATACATTTTAATGTACATGTATTTTAATGTAAAACAGGAGGTAAACATTCATAGTGTAAATGGGTTAACAAATACTGGAGAATATTTTTGCTTTCATGCTTGTTAAAGCTTTTTCTTAACATTACCTCCTATATTTTGTGGAAATCAAAAAGCATAGCTCAATAGGGTAACTGCTTAGGTTTCCTGGCATTTTATCAGTTTTCAAAGATAGATATTTGAGGAGGTGGGACTGAATTAGCTGCACCTGGCTACTTGTTAACTAAATTGATGAAATAATAGAAAAGCTTAATACTTTTTTATATTGTAATTGAATATATATTTTAAAACATGAAAATAGGGAAAGTTAAAATATGAAAATATCTGAAACCACCATAGAAATTCAGCTGTGGATAAAATGAGAGTTCCTGTGGCCAGGATTCTCACCTGGCCCTGGTTCACTGCATACCTGTGGGCAATACATGGCTTTTGACTCTATATAAAGAGCTCTGCCCAGTACTCTGGGCAGACATGGTGGCAGGGCTGCAAACTTCTGTGGATTCTCTGAGGAAGGAGATGGCATTGATGTGGGAGGAGGCAGCACAAGAGCGCTGGCAGCAAGGTGCCATTGGAGATGAGATGGCAGTGCTGCCAGGTGTTCTGAAGTAGGAAGAGACCATCAAGGAAAAAGAGGAACTCCTGAGGGAAGCACAGGCGGAGGTGGCACGAGAACGTCAGCTGTGAAGCATTGAGCTGAAGGTAAGAGACCTTCTGAAGACTGAACTGGCATGTTGCAAGGTACTGTAGCAGAGGAGGCACTTGGGGGAATGGAAAGAAAGGTGACATCAGCACCAGAAATGGACAAGCTGGGGAA